AAAATGGTAAAATAAAATTTGTATTGCACATGAGGTATGACCGAGAAGTAAAATCATTTATTTTGAACATAGTATACGATTGAAATCAAGTATGCATGCATGGCCCCACTGATGTTCAGAATTAAAATACACGTCCCAAATATATTTCTCTGTTCACTCTAGAGCCAACACCGGAACTGAAACTTTAGGTGCTTATAAAACTGAACTAAAGTAAAATATCGGTGACACACATGCTTCAGGCGAACGAAATTTTCAAGAAAATTGCATTTGAGAACCAGGAATGTAACATTGATGAACTCTTTATCGAGCACTCTAGATATGAACGTTATAGGAGGAATATCGAGGCAAAATAGCTGCAGTAAACTTGTTGATTTGGGTACAATCTAAGCAGCTAATCTTCGTTTATTCTTCTATTCGAAAAAGTATACAAAGCTTTGTCCCAACTAGCAATAAAAATCGAGATAAACACGTGAAATCCAAAGCAATGAGAAGTTCCGGGAAAAATTGGTGCTTTACTATTTCCTAAAACCTTCTGTTACTCAATGGGACATGACAAGACGAAACAAGATATACCCAGCTAGCAATATAGGCATTAAATATAGTTCAAACATTTTTGGAACAACAAGGTGTCAGATTTCAAATTACGAAGTATTTTTTTTTTTTATTTTAGATACTAACAACATCGACGGCAGATGATTTGTCATTACCCAAAGAGTACCCATTTGTCAGAGTTACCCATTTGTCATTACCCATACTATTCAACAGAAAGTTTTAGCAAGACGAGTTTCCAACTTCCAACTTCATCAATTTTCATTACAATCAAACTCTTTTTCAAGTATTTTTCAACCATTAATGATTTAGAGATGGTCTCGTGAATGAAACGTGAAAATGGGTTGGCTGATATGCGAAATAATTATAATTATTACACATTTGAGCGAACCCACTTAACGTTCAGTTTGTTATAAATATGACTATCGAATTTCACTACTATTATTTCGGTTGCGGAACAATCGAAATAATAGTAACCCTGGCATGTGTCTACACCAACCATAATCTTGTTGGCGAACAGCGTTTGGTTGGTGTAAAGTGGTTCTAGATCGCTGATGGGTAGCCATTGCTTATTTGCTAACGCAATTCCACTGTCCCGTGCAGAGAGACATTACTGGAGACTACAATAAGTTGCCCATCGTCTTGGCTGACGGTTAAGTTCTGATTGGATGCTATCCAAGAAAATAGCGGATGCTAATTGAAGGTGTGAAGAGAGGGAGTGAGTCAACGGGTGAGCAAATAATGGTTAACAATATCCAAACGGGCAGACATTGATAGAAGCAGCGTCCCGCTCTTCTGTTTTATAATCTGGTCTTTTTGTCATTGCATAAAAGAATTTGCTGCTGAATGTGTCCTATGAAAAGTTTTTTGATGAAGTATGAAGGCTACGTTGAGAAGATCTTGTGTGAACGGCATATGTACGCGAGTGGTGTGATTGATTGATTCGTTTAGAAAATTATTTAATATGGTTATAGATCCGTTGCATGAAGTATTCGAATTAACCAATAAAATTATGCATTACTTTTTCAAGCTCATTTTTCAGCTATCGATTGAATTCTATCGCTGGACTATTAGGCAAAGTACCATAATTTGTAACATTAAGTTTGTTTGGCTTACTGTCAATTCATTTCACTTTCCTACATGCAAAAGTATGGATGTAGTTTGAATGTTTGAAACGCTAATCTGCATGGAGCATGTTATGTTTTCAAACAAAATTTTCAATAAACCTAGTTGATATTTTAGAACTTTTGCAAGGAAATAATAACTGAACTTTTTCTATTTTTAAGTATCGTGGTTTTTGAATGGTATTCCACACAAGCATAACTTCACCTTCGGATGTGGCAAATACAGCTCGAGCTATTAATTGCAAGAAATGCGGATCAGTAAGAAGCTAACCTCTCGCTGCATAAAATAACCTGTTCCTTCACTTCTCTGATCAAAGCTTATAAATGTTAAATAGTAGTTAGTATAATCAGGTACAAAAATCATGTCTATTACTTTAAAGCATTCCAAATTGTACATAATATTCTGAATATTTTACACTGATTCCATACGCTTGTGGAAAATAAATCGGCAGATTACGCAGCAGAGGCACAAGTATGTGGAATTTTGAGTTCAACCTCAAATATCTGACTGAGCTAATCGTATAAATGTAAATCATTATCATATACGTATAGATGTAAACCATTATCATTGTCAATCATAAACAGAATCATTATCTCGCGTATGAACGTCAACAGCTTGACGGGATATGACTGAACATCGCAGGCTATTCATGCGAGTAAAAGATTTGTACGTGAAACGAAATGGTAAGCAACAGCAGCATGCGCATGATAAGAACTTTTCAGTGTGAACATCACATTTAAAATGTTTATAAATGATATATTCACACACGAGTGAGGTCAGTGTATCAAGCTGCTCATACAGCTTGATACACTCCTGCGGTGTTTTTCCACAAACATCGACAAATAAAATTGTCTCAAAATCATACTCTTATATGTGGTAATAATTTCAAAAAATCTTCTAAATTCACCTGGTGATTATGTTAACAGTTGGCGTGTGCGTCTATGGAATACAACTAAAATATTGACCTCAAAAGTTATGCATTTCCATTCGTTGCCTTATACTATGGGGCCATGGGGGAGTTCAGTAATTGCTGAAGGCCAGCAGCATCTGCCTGTAGGCGCCAAAAGTGTAATTCTGAAGGCAAGAGAATTCTTTAGTCATAAATCATTCATAATTCATCTTAATAAGGAGATCATAAGTTTCACAATAATGAGATAATTTTAACCCTCTACCGTCTGACATGAGTAACCGGAGCAATATTGTTAGACAAGCCTACTTCCCAAAAAAGATACGTTGCTAGTGCTCACAATATGACTTGCACTGATGGTTGCCACCACGTACAACTTTACTATGTTCTCTGTTGCGTACAAACGTCCTCAGGTTGCTACACTCAATAGTTTACGTATAATTTAAGTTGAAAGTTATGTTCCCGGAGAGTGACATACGGCGGTAGAGGGTTAAAATGTTCTCTGTTGCGTACAAACGTCCTCAGGTTGCTACACTCAATAGTTTACGTATAATTTAAGTTGAAAGTTATGTTCCCGGAGGTAGAGGGTTAATAAGTAATATTGATTATTTCACCGGAATACGTTTCAGGATTTGAGCGTCAACGACAAATTATAAGGCTCACCATCACCCACCACAGTTCGAAGCGCTATTGGTTTATACTCGTATTTATTATACTCACTCCGATGTCGCTCTCAAGAGTGTGGCCGAAGACGCGTTGATATTCGTGCTTGATGTTGCCGAGATCAATCTCAGCTCTCGTGAAGATGATGCGGTTGAGAGTGTTCTATGTGCGACGAGGTAGCCGAAGTTATAAGAAGTACAATAATTGTTTGGAATTAGTATCATTTGTTATTCTTAGGTTTATGGCTAAAGGCTTTTCATGCTATTGGCATCAACTTGAAATGATTCCGAAAAACGAATCCGCATTAACCAAAATTCATGATCTGAATCAACTGAACACGGCGACAAATTACTTCAATTGGAAGTCCTAAACCTAACTGCAGGTAAGTAAATGCATGGTTGAACTAGTATAAGGTTGACCCGTGAGATGCTCATTTATGCGAATGTAGCGTGTTGTTCGCCTGTGACGTCACTGATCTCAGTGACGTCACGGGCATTAACCAATCACCGAAATGCGATCAAACCAGTCAACCAATCCGTCATGGGAATGACGGGATTGTTTACGTTTCTCGATCTCAGTGACGTCACGGGCATTAACCAATCACCGAAATGCGATCAAACCAGTCAACCAATCCGTCGTGGGAATGACGGGTTTGTTTACGTTTCTCGGTCTCAGTGGCGTAACAAGAAAGCTGAACTGAAAGACGGCAATCTTCGTGGGTCACCCTCAAATAGTTCAACCATGAGTAAATGCATTGTCTGTAAGTTACGGCTCTTCCAGATCCTGGAAAGGGGAAATTCTTACCTTCAATAATCCATCACCAATAATAATCAAGCCAAATATTTTACTGTGACAACTTATTTAAGAATATTCGAAATAGATCTCAACGAAAGGCGCCCATAAATTGTAAATTGCCTACCGCATAAAAATATTTTCGCGCAGTGTTAAGCTTTATTAGAAATAAATCAGAGTAAAAACAAATAAATTGAATTAGAGCAACTTACTCCATCTTGGGCCCTCATGGCATTGTGCAGACGCTTGGCAAAGAACTGGTGTCGGTTCTCAATGCACATGACCACGGCCAGCAGGCCGGTCTTGATGTTTCCTGAGAACTCGCTCCTGATGGCATCATGCAGACTCATGCCCTGGAAATTAGCAGCAGTTGTTTGAATATTCGACACTTAAAAATTTGAACATTCGATTCTTAAAGATTTGAATATTCGAAACTTAAAAGACAGCTAAAATAATCGACGCCTATTTAGACCCTTGCCACTTGAGACAGTTGAACTTGTTACTGATGTCAGTGCCATTAAAAAGAATATGACGAAGAATTCTGTTGTAAATTGTTTTTGAGCGACAACATTTGCAATTTAAAAAAATTGCGATGAAAGAATTAACCTAGCTTTTCATTAGCAATGTTTATATTGTATGTATGCAAGCTCATAGGTTACTACATTTCAATATGTGATACACAGGAGACCGCTTCTTGGCGGATGCAACGCCCATTGTCGACGCTAGTACATGAAGAGTACGAACAAGAAACTCTATATTGAAAATCAGAAACGAGGAAGACGCTAACTATGTCGTTCTTTTACAACGTTGTTCTTTTCCTATTTACTTGAAATATTCTGATAATCCTACACATACAGTGCTACAATTGTATCATTTAAAAAAATATTTACTCATTTACGTGCCTTAAGGTAGAGAAAATATTCTGTCGATGAATTGGTTCAGCAAAATTTATGTTTTTTCCTACCTTAATTTTCTTGTACTCCTCGAGCACGGCGCGTAGCACAGTGAAGGAGTGTGAGGAAAAGATCCTGCTGAACTCGGCTTCGTCCAACGACTCATCTTCGTTTTGAATAGAATCGATTTGTGATCAGTTTAAAATGAAGTCAAATTCTATAATTTCTATTATCAAACTTGACTTGCGTATTATTTTTAAGGCTAGGCAAATCCTTTGATGACTATATTTATGAATGTCATAAACCACCGATAATTTAGGGCTTGACCTGAACGACAGCGATTTCTTTATGACTAATTTCATGAGATAAATCATCAAACGGGAAATGATCTTGCTACGAACTGATTGAACTTGATAAAAAACAAAGATACATCATACATGGAATCAAATACGACGGAAAAAGGCATTTGATAATTAATAATCTTAAACCCACAACCATAATATTAATATAACGTAGCATACTATAAAAAATATAATAATAAAATAATATTCTATTTGGACCAGATAACATTTGTTATACATAATGATATTAAATATATAATAAAAAGTCTCATTAGACTACCTGCTTGATTTCACTACCTGCTTGGTGGAGCTTATTTGCCAGTATCATCGTTAGGCTCAGGTTGTAGTTCTTCTCAACGTTGTTGATGATGGACACAAGCAGACGACGAAAGGGTCCTGACGTGGCAGCCCCCAGGTCATGTTGCAACGGACGCTCGTATATTTGATTATAGGCGGAGTTGATTTGTCTGTAATGCGGATGACTCAAATAACACCAACCTAAAGCTGCTTTCATGTAGACTAAAGAATCCCACTACTTTCTCTTCACTTTAATTAGACAGATCTGGAGTTCCACAACACCAAATGACATGGCTGAGTATTTTAGGTTATAGCCTAAACTATTGCATATAAGATTGCTGCTTTTCACGCCCAACTATGTTCATTGGTATGGTATGAACACGGAGGAATTCTATTCCAGCAGATTCAGGTGTGCACGCCAGACATTCCTACGCATGAAATAAGTTTCTCCAGAACCAGCAGCCATACTTTATATCTGTCAATGCTAACAGACAACGACACGCCTGTCTCCTCAAGCATAGCAACAATATCATGGTAGTGGTGATACGGTGCTTCTGGGACAGAGAGTACAAAAAAGAAAGAGGTGGCGTAGAGTAGCCAGAAAGAGGGAAGAGAGATGGAAAACAACAGGAAGAGGTGAATCATGGGCGTTTTGCAGGATTAGGCTTGCTTTAAGAAATTGGGGCTAGGTTGTCAAAATTCATCCTCTTTTACCAATATAAGAGCTTATTTGGGTCGAATAAAAGGAATCACTAACTGGATTTCCATGTCGTTGCGAGTGCACAGGATTTCGACCAATGTGGTCTCATTGGTTCCGGGCCACTGGATCGCGTCAAAGAGATGGTAGGCCAGTAGCACAGCTGTAGGGGTCAAAACAGCGCGCAAAACGATCTTGAACGCAGGCTCAATATTTTGCTCCTCCAGTACCGCGATCAAATCCTGAAGAAAGATAGGTACTAGTTTTGTTGGTGTTACTAAGCTTTTATATAAATTCACGAATTTGATAGCAACATCGAACGGCTAAAAAATACTGTAATTTTTCTCCGAAATATTCACGTTTCTGAATGCAGCTTGGAAAATGATGCGGAAGAATACAAAATCTCATTTTCTTTTGTCTTCAGAAATGTAAGAAATCGGCTAGTTAATTATAATGAACTTCTTACCCTGTGCAAAGCTCCTCTGCCAAACGAAATAATTCCCTGGCGATGGTCGCTGGTCCTGTTGGCGAGGATATTGATGATGGAGGCTTCGTCGGGGGGGGGAAAACTTCTCATCAGCGTGAGCGCGTCACATGTGGGGTTGTGCCCCAGTGTCATGATGGTCGGTTGGTCCTGGAAATAGGATTAAATTTAAGTCATCAACAACTAAAATACAGTACAAAAATATCCATTATTGATAGCTTTTCAACACTAGCCGATACGAACGCGGCGTTTCTTTAACAACTCTGCCGCACTGTTCCCATTTACAAAATACTAAATGAAAATAACTCGTAACTAAATGAAAACTAAAAATAAGAACATGAACCGAAAATTTTAGCCTTCTCAACACGCTTTTTTTTAAATTACAGGAAGTTTGGGATATCGCAGCAGTTAAGAATATAGTTTAAAATTTTACAATTAACTTTCATGAGTAAATGAACGAACGAGGCATTTCAAGTTTCAATGGCCAAATCAGATTTGCTTTGGGCGACGCATTTATTTTCTAATGTCATTTACGTCTAGCGTCGTGTATTCTCATTGTAGCGGACCAATTTTTGGCCGCTTTGTTAGTTTCGAGTCGCCGCAGTTCTCCGACTATGACTGAAAATGAAAAGTATAAGATCGCATCTTTCGTAGGGAGCGCACCCCGGAGGCCAGCTTTGCCAAACTTCACACTTAGTTCATATTCCTTTCCATAGGTAAGAACGCTAGAGTGCATCACGGCCTATGAAGTCAAGTGCTCAAAGCCATGGCGCCGGATGTCCACAGCCACAAAATAAGCTTGCCAAAGGTAAACACGGCCATACTGCATCTGGCCAAACCTCCTCTGGCCTAACCTCTTCAGGCCTAACCTATACGAGCTGCAACCTTTCTCCACCCAAAACAAACCTGAGCGGACCTAACCTAACCTCACTGGCTGCAAGAAGTTAGAAAGGCGGTCCAAGTGTGCTGGTAGAGCCAGTCATTGGCTGCAAGAAGGTTGTGAGCAGGGACAGCATGAATAGGCTAGGCCAGAAGAGGTTAGGCCGGAGTAGGTACAGCCAGATGGACAACTGCCTGCTTATGAGCTAGCACGCTTAAGCATTGGCTGAAGACCTACGACGCTATTATCTTTCGGCAGTGTGCCGCTTGTTTGGATTACGGAGTTTAAGCGTAGTCTGCGGCTTCTAGTTCCGAGGCTGAGTAAAGTTAATGCATGGTGAAGCTAGGCGTTGGCTCCAGGGCTTATTTAAGAGTAAAATTAGTGGCCTACTGTTGCGCTCCCTTTCGTAGGATATGGGGATCATTAGTCTGTGGCTGGGCTGTGAACTCTTGTCATTGACCGTTTGTTAGCATTTACGCATGCTGTAATTGTATTTCTATTACCATGACCATTGTTTAAGCTCCTTATAATCAAAGGATTACGTAAATACGTTACGTGTCCCTTTACTATTTCGCACTCTGTAATTCCACAACCTCGTATGTTAGGGCCCGCGGGCAGATACCATCGATATTTGAATGTAGTTAGTCGTCCCGCTACATCATTGCATAATAAACGTCAGAATGATATTTTAGGAGATAAAACTAAGTGTTACCCCCGTCATACCATTTGAACGCATGTTTTGATGATTTGATGATCGCACGTGATATACGTGCAAATGCGTTTATTTGTTTCGTTTAAATATATGTATATTCACCGAGATTGTTACCATTCAACGTTAGATTTGAAACCACTTCTTATCTTAATATTATCTATCTTTCATAAATTAATGATATAAAATAGAGCACGATTTGAAGATAATGTCAAACTTCATCTCTATCAAGAAATTTCGTTCAGCTCGTTTAGATGACATATAAGAAAATTATTATTAAAAACAATCTCAAGGCTTCAAACAAACTTGCATGTTATTTTTTGCATACTGACATCCGCATTGTGGCCCTCTGCGCTGCTCGACTGATAAGAAGAAGTCGTGCCTGAAACAGTACAAACTAATTATTATTTTTAACTCAGTTTTTTTCTATACATTATTTTGATATCAACTTGAGAATTTAATTCTGCCGTCAATACAACTAATTATCACAGCAATGTGCCAGTTAGCGTTGTCGTTGTCGACGAAATAAGATATGATTAATAGTCAAGATATTTATAATTACTTTTACGGTTGATGCTGGTTTAAAAATATACCCATTGTCATATTTCTTCGCCTTAATAGATGTGTCTTAGTCTTAACTCCGTAAGGATAATGGCACCATCAGAGATACATATTTTGTCACCACGCATGACTTAATAAAGTTTAGTAATTCGTATGTTTTAATTAATTAAAACATACGAATTTAATTTAATTAATATTAAATTTTAATGACGAGTTAATTTTTCGTTCTGTTTATGTACGGTAAAAAACTCTCTGAAGGAGGAACAGAGTTTCTATAGTGACGTTTTTCCGGACAAATTCCGAGATTTAGTTTTGTATCGATTGCGCTGGTTAGCGAAACTTTATGATGGCGGTATAAAATTAAGTTTTCAAGTGAAATTACGTAAGCCTGGTGACACTGACTTTCATGATTAGTTAAAATAATAGCAGAGTTTCAACAGCACATCATGCAGTCACGCATTACACTTAGATATCGAAGAAGACTTCTTGCGTGAAACATGTGTAATAACTTTTAAACAGGTACAGAAGATTCAGAATATCTTTTGATGTTTATAAAGAGTTTCTGATTTTTTTGAACATTGTCTTCGCATAATCTTAATAACGAGATTTTTGTTATCTACAAATAAAACTTTTGTTACGTGGCACATCACGAAAACAATATTCCTATAATGTGGCTCTGTTCCGGAGTATTTTTAATAAATAGGATCTTACGAGAAGGAGCAGGTCGCAATTCATGTCATCATTAAATGGCATGATGATTAATATATAAGACTGAATTGTAATCAGAAGATAAAGAAGCCATTCACTATGAAAGCCACACGAGCAAAAGAAATGGAGAAAGTGAGATTCGTGTCATTGGTCCAACTTTGAATGAGGTCAATCCGTCATGAATGTAAATTCCTGAAAGTTTTTACATTTTGATATAGACCGGATTCAAGATGCATGGCACTGTCATGCATCTACTCTAAATCTGTCTCTTATACACATCTAGATGTGTATAAGAGACAGNCATTAATATTAATAAGAAAATTATTAATAAAAACGATCTCTGGGCTTCAATCAAACTTGCATATTATTTTGTGAATACTGACCACCGCATAGTGGCCCTCTGCGCTGCTCGACTCATAAGAGGAAGTCGCGCCTGAAATAGTACCAACTAATTATTAATTTGAACTCATTTTTTTCCATACATTATTTTGATATCAACTTAAGAATTTCTGCCGTCAATACAACTAATTCTCACAGGAATGTGCCAATTAGCGTCTGTCTCTTATACACATCTAGATGTGTATAAGAGACAGGTACGACCCTGAGGGCTGTGCGAAACCACCATAATTCTTTAATTCAATTAATAAATTTAGCTACTCAAAATACATAGAATCATTCATTGTTGAATTAGAGGCTAATGATAAAATAGTAGCATTAATAATTGGTTTGTGATGAAAGGAGATATCCTGAATGGGTTTCAAAGGAATGGCTAAAGTAACATAAAAATATGATTGTTCAAGAGACATGTCAGGGGGTTATTTTGATACTTTTTGCTTTATTTTGAAATTTTTAAATTCCATTATTTTAAATACAATGACAATTGTACACTAAATACATATCATCAGCCGAAAAATATATTTCTAATGAGTAATATCCAAATAATCTAGTATTTTTCAATGCTAATCGGTAAATTTACACATTAAAATTATACCAAGGCTTCAGTGTTTTAGATCAAATAATAGAACTGCTAGTCGCCACAATATCTAGTGATCCATTCACACGTGGGGTAGTTCAACTAGATGCCAACTCCACGTAATTAAATAATGTTGAAATGAAGAAATAAAAAACTAGCGCAATTTCAACATTTACAGGCTGTGGGTATAACAATATAGTTCGTATATTGTTCATTATATACGTGCAATCAATGACCAGAAAATTCGTTCATTTAAATTATGAGAGAATGGAAAAATTCTTCAGATGACGTTGGCAGATCGAAAGGTATATTTCAGGTGGTTTTAGTTTATTAATAACCTTTCAACTGCAACAAACATTCATTTTCAAGTTACAAGAAGCATTAAATATTGCAATTTTGGTGGAAATAATTACATAATATACGTAAATATCATACTAGAGTAAAATTTGGTACAAGAAAAATCACTCTGAAAACTTTTTCAGAGTTCGGACAAATCCGATAGTTAGGAGATGGATAGCTGGTCATTAATTGCACGTGTATAAACAAGCAAATTCTGCCATCTAATATTAATTTCTGCACTCACGACTCGGCAAAAAGTGATAACTGTGAGACACAGAACAGAACTAATTACGAGAAAATCAACTCTGAAGTCATCAATATGAAATCTGGAGACTCCGAAATGTATCTGATACGGTCTGAAAATGTTCGAGCAACTTCTCCTCAATCGAGCAACTTCTCCTCAAGATCACTGATTTATTAAACTGGCTTCGTGACACCTTTGACAATAATGGCCCGTATTCTAAATAGGGCACTAGCACTACGAAGTAGCACTATGCACTACGAAGTGACCTGTTGGTATGCTAATTACGTCACAGACACTAAACACTTCGAAGTAGCTCTACACTGTTTAGTGTCGCTTAGTGTCGCACTACTGATTCGTATGCAGAAAGACTTTTAAGTGCTACTTGGCTGTTAGAGTACTTTATAGTGCCGCACTACGCTATGAGTCTATTGAAGAATGGTAGTGCTCAAATAATTAATTATTCTCTAAGTAATTCTCATTCTTTGCAGAAGATTGATGTAAAATGTCTAATTGTGATGGTAATGGTACTAGTAAAAATTGTGATGGTGAGCTGAAATTCGCAATGCGTCTGCGCACCTTTCCTATCATATATTCAAAGTCCACGCTTCCCAAAGACATCGAACAAAAGAGAGAAGCATGGAAAGTTCTTGCAAAAGAATTCAAAATGACTCCAGAAAAAAAAAACAAAAAAGAAAATTGAAAACATGGTATCAAAAACAAGAAAAGAATTTTATACTTCCGCTACAGGTAACAAACCAATTAAAGCGAAGGAATTGGAAAAGGAAATTAGGAACCAATTAGATTCAGGCGAAACTAATCCTGTGTTTCATGGGGTTCCAGGGGGTGTAAGTAGTACCACCTACCCAAGAAAATCCCTGTACAACCACCTACGCTGGTGGAAGAAGTGATAGAACCGTCAGCTTGTCAGCCATCTGTTATCTCATTTGTAAAACCGTCAGGTTTTACATTTTGTTTACACCGTTGTAAATACTGGTAAACATGTTTACACCGTTGTAACGGATTTAGCATACGGGCCAATGTCAAACCCCGGGCTATACGGAGCAATGGCCCGTGCAAGCTAGCGAGAGTTCCCCGAGTGACCGGTGTATTCTATAAATTTTGCTTCAAATAAGGTTGTAGACTTCTTCATGATCTGGACTACATCGGACAAATTGGACTAACAACCAGGACGCCAGGCCGCTGTCTCATAAGCTACATTCAAACTGGAGGGCAAGTGAACCACGTGGGATAAGCTCATAACCAGACCGTCACTGGCATTGTGCTGGAAGAACCCACCAGCCATAGTCATCAAGCTGTGGCCCAACAGCAACCGACCGAAGATTGCTGAACCCCTCATTTTTATGGATTGGACTCCAGGGGCCATACTTTCAAAACTCGTTAAGTGAACGTAAGTACTTACGCTCTATTTTCCAGTCTATGATTGGTGGATTTGGCTTGAAAAGCCGTCAACTATCTCTTAACTTTTTTTTTTGAAAGTATAGGCCCAGCTATCTATCTCCTAACTACCGGATTTGTCTGAACTTTGAGATAGTTTTCAGAGTGATTTTTCCGGTTCAAAATTTTACTTTAGTATCCTATTACGTATATTATGTACATATTTCCACCAAAATTGCAATATTTAATGCATCTTGTAACTTGGAATGAATGTTTGTTGCATTCGAAACGTCGTTAATAAAGTAAAACCACTTCCTGAAATATACCTTTCGATCTGCCAACGTCATCTGAAGAATTTTTCCATTCTCTCATAATTTAAATGAAAGAATTCTCTTGTCATTGATTGCACGTGTATAAACGAGCAAATTCTACCATATAATACTAATTTCTGTTCATTATATCTGTACATACTACACAATCTGACAAGTAAATAAATGTCATACGCGAATGGTGCACAAGGCTTACCTGGGTGGAACGCCTTACCTGGAAACTCATTGTGTCGATGTCAAATTTTCAAAGCAAGACGAAATTGTCTGGAAAAGAAAAGAATAATACTGTACACATTATGAGGTGTGAATATCACATAGCACTCACGATGCTGCAAACACTTCCATGTACAAGTTCAATGTCAGTCCAGCTACCAGTTGTCTTTAGTGCAGTTAGGTAATTGGAAAGAAGAAGTATTTCTAAAAATTTTCGACAGCACAGAACGCATCGAGACACGCGTGCCAGCGCCCACGGGCTCAACTTTGCCATTGACTCACAGACGCTATGTACCGTATCCCGATTATGCGAGTGGAGGTAATAATTGTGTTCAAACTCGTCTAAAACATTAACGGCTCAATAGATTTTCCTGAAACAACATTTAATCAACTGAATAATAAAAGTTATTCAAATATAATGAGAGGTCGTGTCCGAAAAAGTGCTCCTTCCCCCCACAAAAAGAGGGTCAAATTCGAGCTTTTCCGTCAAAAAGTGACTTTGCGGCAACGCTCGTAACTCTTAAAGTGCATCTGCAGCGTTGAGCATGTTTGCAAACGAAAGAAAAAATAGTTCCAGTATCCATTGAGCATCAACAGGTTCCTCAAACTTGAAAACTTTAATACAAACTTGACGGTCAAATTTGGCCCAAAATAGGTCGTTTTTCGGCTATTTTTTGACTATTTTAAATTTTTTACGGTCAAACCGTAAACATTTTTACTATTCTGAAATCTTTTGTCTCGTCAAGACGCACATGATCCAGAAATCGGACCTTGAAAAAGTTTAAAATTAAAAAAGTTATGGAAAGTGGGCGCAATTTTTTTATATCGTTTTGTGATGGGTTTTAAACTGGTGTTTCACAAAAACGGTTACATAGATTTTCCTTGAAAAGCTGTAATCGATGTAAAATTGCACGTTCTACGAGATTGTATCGAGTGGTTATGTCCGTTGAAATGCTCCTTCACCCCCAAGAAAGGTGACAAACAGGGCACTTAGACTTTTTCAACTTTTTTCTATTTTTATTACTTTTCGCACTAAAACTCAACGGAAAATCTTTGTAATTTTTTCCACGATTTTCATCAAAAAATAATAGTCTTCAATTTGAACCTTGTTTCATGATTGTAGCTCCAATAGACCTTGAGATATGATCTTTCAAAGTTGACAAGAATCGACCAGCTTTCACCTCAAGTGCACCCAAACGGCACTTTTCTGAACGTCCTCACTGTAAAGTTTATTGTGCGGGCTGCGTATTTTTTGGAAGCTTACCTGCTTCTCAGCTTCAGCTTTTTTGGCACTAGGGCGATGAAAGAAAAGATCCCAAAAGTCTCATAGGAAAAAAGTTTTTATTCAACGCCAAAATTGTTCCATGAAATTGACTCGCCTCTCGCCTTATTTCGATTTTTTGTTTGTTCAAAGGATTATAACTCGGATGCGATTGCGCTTGTGGAAAATTTATCCGAATAACAATTAGTATAGAATTAAATTCCCATTTCACGGGCCCCGAGCTCACTGCTCGGGGCCCTCTCTTTCCTCCGTTATTTTGTGTCAGATATTGGTAAAGTTAAATCTTATGGGATAAAGTTAATACATTTTTATGTTATATCGTCATGGGTATAGATGTTTGAGGCCGGAATTCGCATTTCCAACACGTTCACTGACTGTTGGAAATGCAAACTCCGGCCCCAATCATCCACAAGACAATTAGAGAACATAATTATTTACAGATGTTGTGTGATGCACATAGCTTCCTGGGCTTGGTTCAAGCAAGGAACAAATTCATTTCGCGACCACCGCATAGGTGAGGTTAGGTTAAGTTAGATTAGGTTAGGCTAGGTTAGGTATGGTTAGGTTAGGTAGGGTTAGGTTAGGTATGGTTAGGTAAGGTTAGATTAGGTTAGGTTAGGTAAGGTTAAATTAGGTTAGGCCATGTAAGGTTAGGTTAAGCTTTGTTAGGTAAGGTTAGGTTAGGTTTGATAAGATCACGTCAGTTTGGGTTAAGACAGGTTAGGTAAGGTTCACTTCGGTTAGGTTGGATTAGGTTATTTGCGGCTAGGTAAAACTAATTGATTATTTTAAACACTGTAATGACCCATCAGGAAAATGTTACAATTGGGGGATTGTTGTGTGTGTAGTAGGGAATGTTAGGCATAAAGAATAGAGATAAATAAAAAAGTGTAAAAATCTAATAAAAAAGCGCGTGATCTGGTTACGTTATTACTTCCAAGGATGGTGTATACATTGCAATAACATACAAAATACAGCATTGCTAGAAGGCATTATGGAGATAAATGCTTGCGATGGCGTTGTTTCATCATTTCATCACAATTCATGTAAAACGAAACCATCGCTTTTCAAGACGCAAAAATACTATTTATACTACGTCGTAAACTACTGAAAACGGTACGTATTCCTTTCAAGAGTTCGAGATATTGAAGACAAACACAAGCCTGCAGAGCGATCACTTGACACTGCAGCTGGCTACACAGCGATCACTTGACACTGCAGCCAGCTACGGAGCCAGAGGTCTAATGAAGTAGTCGTACTAGAGGCATGGGAGTTTATGTAGAGAACGGCGTCATGAGGTCACGTGTACGTATGATGTTACTGCAAATGACGCACGACTTGCCTCCATGATTCCAAGCTGTGAAGTAACGCGGCTGACTCATCGTGACGCAAGTATACGAAGACAATGAAATGCGTACGATAAAATCATGCTTGAAGAAGCGTTAAGTTCTGCAAACTATCGTAGTAATAATACGACAATGAGAGATATTTTCGAGATGATCGTTAATTAAACTGTTGATAAAAATTTCAAAAATGGCAAGGAGTATACGGTAGACGTAGTAAATTCAGGTTTACTGTTTTGCATGAATTTGTGGTATATTTTAAACCAATAAGTCGTCGGAAAGACCAAAAATTAAAATATGGTGCAAAACAGTAAACCTCTCTGATGCAAACACATTTCCCATTACCGCGATTTAATCCCAGCGTGGATGACAACGGATTCGATCCCAGCATGGATGAACGGATTCGATCCCAGCATGGATGAACGGATTTGATCCCAGCATGGATGAACGGATTCGATCCCAGCATGGATGAACTGATTCGAAACCAGCATGGCTGACAGATTCGATCCCAGCATGGATGACGATAGGTTTGATCCCAGCATTCATACATACCTACATTTTCTTCCGTTGCTCTGGTAATAGTTAGGAATGAGAATTATCAATCAAGTTCCTTATGATCGATCTTGGCCAACTCGTGCAAAATACAGTATCAAGATAAGTACTGATATTTATATTTGTAACGAATCCTAATCAAAATTTCCACCAGCAATTCTCAAAAAATTTAAAGTGACACAAATCAAGAGACATATTGTCACATGTGGGAGATCAATCATTAATTTTTTTCAAAATTGCAGTTATCAAAACAAGGCATTGCCAAACGAAAATTAGTCCTGTATGTGTCCTACAATTCAGCTTTTTGGAACTTCTATTACATTGCAAGTTTAAGTTTTACTTCAAAAACTATCAAGTAAATCTTTTTTGTGAAAATTCTAAGCTTAAATGCAAGTAAAATCAAGCTGTGTGACTTGTACACATTACAGAGTGCGTTAATCATGCACGGTACAGTCGTTGGGAAAACCGTCACCTCTGATTATTTTATTAAGATACCAAAGATAAACGTCGAAGAAGAAGCTTTATAGAAGGATTAAACAAAGTGATAATGTGAGACGCACTATCTCTGGTCATAGCAAGTTGCAACTGTGCCACTACGTTTGATCACCTGTGAAAGGTGCCAGGTTAAATAAATAAGATAACACTACTATAAGTCTATCGTACGCTGTCATAAATGATTATATACTGAGCATATGAGATTAGATTACCCACCTACCAAGTTTCCTTGAATTGAGAACGAATTCTCTTATCAAAAGAACGAACTCTCTTATCAGAGTAAAATATTTAATCAATATTCTACTTCCGTCTTCATAAGTATCCAAAGCCTTTCTTTTGGTCGAATATTAAGTTATATGTTTGGAATAAAAAACTTGAATTCTTTACATATATATTTGAACGTTGAAACACACGTATAACATGAATATTCTTATTTTTATATTTTTTGTGTGATCAAATTACAGCAAATGTTACGTATTTCCACCAGCGATTGAAATACTGCAATGCAAATTATTACAATGAACTTTTTACACCGTATAATCATCAAATCCTTCACGAAGCTCAGAAAATTCGGATTTCTTGCTGGTCTGTTAGTGCAGTTGAACTATGTTGGATTTAAAATAGTAATTCATTATACAACGTTTTTATGTTGATTAGATTTCTCCGATACTATATTCCCTTCAATTACTGTTCGTTCGAATTTAATTGCCTAGCTAGTTNCGTTTTCAATATCGATATGGTGAATTTTCTTGGCGTTTTCTTTGCTTTTAGATTCCTTGTGAACTTGCGATTTAAGCAGACTAATGATATAAGTACTTATGGAGTATAAAAGAATTACTTATAAATCGATCGCGAAACTTTCCAATTTATATTCAAGGTAGTGATTTAATACGTTCATAATATTCCATTTATTCTCATTTGAATATTAATTATCTTGAAATTCTATCTTGAAACATTGGACAAAATGTAATGTTGTATGCCGGTTTTCAATTCAAAATTATGCATACTTTATATTTGTTGAATGACCTCTTCCTCCAAACATAACAATGATTGATCTGAGCGATTGTTGGTACAATTTGGCGAGTGTTGAATCAAATTACAAGATTTCGCTTCATGTTGCGAAAGGTCGCTTCCTACTGAAATGTCCAACACTTCGTCTGGGTATGGAAATCAACATGGACACCCCAGTTAGGATATATTTAATCGAACATCCGTGCAGAACCCCGTGGCATGCCAATACGAGTTCCAATTACTATCTTATTACAAGGATTCGGGTGCTTCATTTCCTAAGGAATATTTGGCACTGCATCATAATGATGATTCTAAATATTTAATCGAACATCCGTGCAGAACCCCGTGGCATGCCAATACGAGTTCCAATTACTATCTTATTACAAGGATTCGGGTGCTTCATTTCCTAAGGAATATTTGGCACTGCATCAAAATGATGATTCTAATCTGTACTATTTGTACTAAAATGGTTTTCTGATCCCAACTGACGGGACAGACTTCAGTTGACATATGTGTCATTATTGTGCGCATATTAGTATATGTGCCATTATTGAGCCCGAATCATGACGTGCATCGTACTTTATTTATCATAGGCTTCATCATTGTAATCGAGATTATCAGTTCTTTCGTTTTAGTTCTAATCTTGACCAAATTAGTGCATGATTGCTAAGGATTATGAGCCCTTGTATGATGAGCTCTAAGGCGACCATCGACAGCCACATTAAGGTGAAATATGTACAAACTAACGTGACTGCAATATTAACAAAAAATCGGTTGCCCAACAAGCGACATTTTGAGTAATTGCGAATTCAAGCATTCATTACGCTGTCCCAACTTCCATATCAAAATTTTGATTCCTGTCAGCCGCTGGCTCAAGGACGCCCCAAGTTCGCCTAGCGATGTAAATTAGCGGCTCAATGTCCGCTTTAGGTTCTGATTTTACGAGGGAAATAAGCACCTGATTAGGATCCGGTCTATTCCTTGACAACAATGGGGCGACTACGCGACGCACGTATTTGGTACCTGATACGTTCGGGACAGACACGGCCGAATCTGAAAAGTGCGTCAAAAAATACCCCATCCTTTCCCCCCATTATGATCTGCAGGTGTTAGCATCAGCATTCTTGGAGCGCAGCCTCTTGCACGATGAAATACCAACCGGTGTGCTGAGTGCTTCGCTACAACAGCCTGCCACATACTTATTGTCGGCCATCACTCGTTCGTTCGTCTCAGATGCAGTGCTTCGGGAATGCCGGGAAAAATAACTGAACTTTTTCTATTTTTAAGTATCAAGGTTTAGAATGGTCTACCACAAAACCATTACTTCACCTTCGAAAACTAAGCTCGAACTAAGAATCGGATACAGCTTGAACTAAGAATCACAAAAAAGCTACTTCTCGCTACATAAATTGACATGTTCCTCCTTGTTTCTGATCATAGCTAATAATTGTTTAATAGTACTAAGTATAATCAGGTACAAAAATCATTCCAAGTTATACTTAATATTCTTAATATTTAACACTGATTTCATACGCTTCTGGAAAATAGATCGGCTGATTACGCAGCAGAGGCACATGTATGTGGCATTTTGAGTTCAAGCTTCAAATATCTGACTGAGCTAATCGTATAAATGATAATTAACAGAATCATTATCTCACGTATGATTCAACAGCTTGACGGAACACTAGACTGAATATCGCAGGCTATTCATGTGTGTAAAAGATTTGTACGCGAAACGAAATGGTACGCAACAACAACACGCGCATGATAAGAACTTGTAAGTGTGAACATCACATTTAAAATGTTTATAATTACTATATTCACACATGACTGAGGTCATAGCTCCTGCAGCTTGACATACTCTGGCGGAGTTTTTTCGCAACAACGACAAACATTATTGTCTTAAAATTATACTCTCATAAGTGGCAATTTCAAAAAATCGTTCAAATTTACCTGGTGATTATGTCAACAGTTGCGTATTTGCGTTATACGTACCTACGTATAACGCAAATACTGACCTCAAAAGTTATGCTTTTCAATTTTTCAATTCGCTGCTTACAAGGCGGCAATGGCGAGTTCAGCCATGGCCGATGGCCAACAGCAGCTGCCTGTAGTTGCCAGAAGTGTACTTCTGAGGGCAAGAGAATTCTTTTATCATAAATCTTTCATAATTCTTGATAATAAGGAGATCATAATATTCATAATAATGAGATCATTTTAATAAGTAATATTGACTATTTCAGGACTTCTTAGGATTTCAGCGTGAACAACAAATCAGAAGGCTCACCATCACCCACCACAGTTCGAAGTGCTATGGGTTATATTCATTATAACCATACTGATGTCGCTCCCGAGTGACGGCTGAAGACGCAAAATAATTTCCAGAATTCAAGCAACAACAGCGAAAATCAGAGGTTTCCTTTGACCCACCACTGTTCTAAGCATTCGTATAGGTTATATACTCTTTATACTCACTCCTATATGTCGCTCCCGAGCGTACGGCGGTAACGGCGTTGATATTCTTGCTTGATGTTGCCGAGATCAATCTCAGCTCTCGTGACGATGATGCGGATGAGAGTGTCATCCTGTACGTGACGGGGCAGACGAAGTTATAAGAAGTGCAATAATTGTTTGGAATTAGTATCATCCGTCAATCATGGGCTCATGGCTAAAGGCTTTTCATGCTTTTGGCATCAACCTCAAGGGATTCCAGAAAAGAATCTGCATCAACCAATCAACTGAGCACGGAGACAAATTACTTCAATTGGAAGTCCTATACCTAACAGCAGATAAGTAATTGCGTTGTCTGTAAGTCACGGCTTTTCCAGATCCTGGAAAATGAAAATTCCTAGCTACATATTCATTTAGCGCAAAATAACTACCAATTTAGCACCGCCTTCAATGATCCATCACCATTAATAATCAATCCAAATATCCCACGATGACAACTTATCTAAGAACACTCGAAATAAATCTCAGCGACAGACGCATATAAATTGTAAATTGCCTTCCGAATAAAAATACCTCTGCGCAGTTAAAGCTTCATTAGTAATGAATCAGTGTAAAAATAAATAAATTGAATTAGAGCAACTTACTTTAGCTCCTTGGGCTGTGATGGCGCCGTGCAGGCAAATGGCAAGGAACTCATCTTGGTTCTCAATGCACATCACCACGGCCTGCAGACCGGGTTCAATGTCCTCTGAGAACTCGCTATTGATAGCGTCTAGCAGACTCTTGCCCTGGAAATTATCGGCTGTTGTTTGAAGATTCAACACTTGAAGATTTGAATATTCGATTCTCAAAAGTCAGTTAAAATAATAGATGCCTATTTATACTCTTGGAACTTGAGACAGTTGAACTTTTTTGTTGAAGAATATAACGAAGAATTCTGTTCAGAATTAATTAGAATCAACGAAGAATTAATAAGAATCAACGAAGAACTTTTGCAATTTAAAGAAAAATGCGACATAAGAATTAAAGCAAGCATTTCAGTAGCAATATTTATGTTGAACAGTGGGTGCAAAAAGTATCTGACACAAAGAAAAATCTTCATTTAATTGAAGCTTATCCAACAATATAAGATAAACAAACACTATGCTAATGTAAATTTGCATGTGAAATACAAATATATCAAAACGACAATATCATTAAATGTTGACTTGATAATTAGAATTTGTAAAAGGTAAGGTTCAAAAAGTATCCAAAACATAGCAAGAAAAAAAAAAAAGAATTTGATCTGCCAATGATTTCTCATTCATTATTTTTTGGGGAATATTCTAGAATCAGAAAACGTTGGAATAATCTAAAATGAATGCTAAAAAAGTCATCGACATGTAACTGTAGTTATTCATTACATGGCATCGTCATTAGAAGGTGGTCTAAATTTGACACTCTTCAACAATGCTTAAAATTGCAGTTTTGTCTGACTCAACTAGAAAATCAATTATTCAGCTACACAGAGATGGTTTTGGATATTGAAAATTTTCATCTGTGTTAAATATCCCGATTCCAACAGTTGGTGTTCGGAGGTGGAAATCATTCCCTCTTTCGACTAGTCTGCCTCGTTCAGGGTGTCCTACAAAAATTTCTGACCGCATAGCTAGGAGTTTAGTTCAAAAAGTACAGAATAATCCTCGAATGACTCGCTCGGAACTGCAAAAAAGACTTGCAATCAAGTGGGACAAATGTTTGCAATAAAATAATTAGTACAGTTCTTCGAAAGAGAGGATTATACTCGCGGTCGTGCATCAAGAAAAACCCCTCTTGAAGGAAATTCACGAAAAGAACCGCCAAAACTTTGCTAAAGAACACGTGAGTAAACCTGCAAGATTTTACGATAAAATATTATGGTCAGATGAGACGGAAATTGAGTTGTTTGGTCAGAACTGTGTCAGTCGTGTTTGGAGACAAGAACTCTGCGTTTTACCCGAAGAATACCGTCCCAACCGGTTCGGAGGTGGCAGCATAATGCTTTGGGGTTATTTCTCTTCTGCAGGCAATGAGGAATTGGAAATAATAGAATGAAGGAAAATCTCCTAAATGTATCGGGGCATTCGTGAGAGATGTCTTGAGAAGTTAGCCGAAAAATTGCACCTTCCTCGAGGTTGGATATTCCAACAAGACAATAACCCTAAGCACACAGCCAGGGCAACTCTTGCATGGTTTCAGAGGAGGGACATTGAGTTATTGAAATTGCCAAGCCAGGCACCTGACCTCAAGCCGATTGAAAATCTGTGGCGGTATTTGAATTATGACGAGAGCAGACTCGACTCGACTCGATCTTTGAAATTTTATCCAACTGAAAGAAATATGCATGGAAGACTAGACTAAAATTCCTAACAGCATATGTTTTAATCTTGTGAACAAGTACCGGTAGTCTATTCAGTTAGAAGCAATTTTGGCTTCTAAAAGTCCCATGACGAAGTATTGAATAAATTTGTTTGTTATGTGTTGGATACTTTTTGAGCATTAACTTTCACAAAATTGCAATTATCAACTCAACATTTATTGATATTGTTCTTTTGATATGATACTTGTATTTCTCATGTAAATTTACATTAGAATAGTGTTTGTTTATGTTTATGTTACTGAATAAGCTTTTTTCAATTAAATAAAGTAATTCCTTTATGTCACATACCTTTGCACCCAAGCTAATACGGTACTAAATTTTAATATTTGTTGCATAAGAGATTGCTTCTTGGCGGATGCAACACCCATTTCTGACGCTGGTACATGAAAAGTACGAGCACGAAACTTTATATTATGTGCGACAATCAGAAACGAGGCTTTTCCCATTTACTTGCAATATTGTGGTAATCCTGCGCACACAGTGCTACAAATGACCATTTTAACGAATATTTAGTCTGTTAGGTGTCTTAAGGTAACGAAAAAAATTTTTCCGTGAATTTGTTCAGCAAAGTTTTTTCTACCTTAACTTCCTCGTACTCCTCGAGCACGGAGCGTAGCACAGGGAAAGAGCAGGAAGACAAGATCTTGTTGAACTTGACTTTGTCCGACGACTCAACTTCGTTTTGAAGATAATAGATTTATGATTAGTTCAAAACTAAATAAAATTCTATAATTTCTATCATCAAACTTGACTTTCGTATTATTTCTAAGGCGATGCATATCCTTGGATGACTATATTTGTAAACGTCATACACCACCGATAATTTAGGGCTTGACCCGAGCAACAGCGATTCGATCGTTTATGACAGATTTCATGAGATAAATCATGAAACGGGAAATTATCTTGCTACGAACTGATTGAACTTGATAAAAAGCAAAAAAGACATGGAATCAAATTCAACGTAAACTGCATTTGATAATTAATAATCCCAAACCCACATTCATAATAGGAATATAATGTAACATACTATAAAAAATATAATCTAATACAATATTTTAGGTAAACCACATGACATCTTATTCTGCATAATGAAATTAAATATATAATAAAAAGATTCCGTACCGTTAACATAGCGAAAACTACCTGCTCGGCGGAGTTTCTGCGCCAGCTTCGGCGCCAGGCTTAGGTTGTGGTCCATCTCATCGAGTGCGCCGGGGGTCATCGATATTAGCAGACGACGAACGTGCCCAGACGTGTTCGCCTCCAAGTCATTTTCCAACGGACGACCGTATAGATGATGATACACGGAGTTGATTTCTCTGTAATGAAGACAACGCAAATAACAGCAACCTATAGAGCTGCTTTCATGTAGAGTTACGGTAGCTAAAGAATCCCACAACTTTCTCTTCTCTTCTCTTGAATTATACAGATCTGGAGTTCCACAACACCCCATGACATGGCTGAGTATTTAGGTTATAGCCTAAACTATTGCATATAAGATTGTTGCTGTTCACGCCCAACTATGTTCATTGGTATGGTATGAAGATGGAGGAATTCTATTCCAGCATATTCAGGTGTGCACCGCCAGACATTCCTACGCATGAAATAAGTTTCTCCAGAACCAGCGGCCATACTATTTATCTGGTAATGCTAACAGACAACGACACGCCTGTCTCCTCAAGCATGACAACAATATCATGGTAGTGGTGGTGCGGTGCTTCTGGGACAGAGAGTACATAAAAGAAAGAGGCGCAGAGTAGCCAGAAAGAGGGAAGAGAGATGGAAAAACAGGAAGAGGTGAAGAGATGAAAGAGATTAGGGCTGGGTTGTCAAAATTCATCCTTTTTTACCAATGTAAGAGCTTATTTGTGTCGAATAAAAGAAATCACTAACTGGATTTCCGCGCTGTTGCGAGTGCACATGATTTCGATCAATATTAGCACATTGGTTGCGGGCCCGTTGATCGCGTCATAGAGATGGCTGGCCAGCAGCACAGCTGTAGGAGTCATAATAGCACGCACAGCGCGCTTGAACGCAGACTCAATAGTTATCTTCTTCTCCAGTTTCTCGAGCCAATCCTGAAGAAAGATACTAGTTTTGTTGGTGTTACTAAACTTATTCACAAATTTGATATCAACATGGATCGGCAAAAAATATTCTAGAATTTGTCTTTACAATATTTAAGTTTCTGAATGCAGCTTCGAAGATGATGCCGAAGAATACAAAATCTCATTTTCTTTTGTCTTCATGAATGTAAAAATCTACTAGTTAATAATAATGAACTTCGAACCTTGCCAAAATCTCGGCTGTAAGACGAAATAATTATTCGGCGTTGTTCGTTGGTCCTGTTGGCGAGGATATTGATGATGGAGGCTACGTCGGGAATGATGTTCGTGGCCTTCTTCAGCACCGACGCGTCCTTCGAGGGGTCGAATTTTCTCAGGCACATGATGGTCGGTTGGTCCTGGAAATAGGATTAAATTTAAGTCATCAGCAACTAAAACAAAGTACAAGAATATCCATTATTGATAACTTTTTCACACTAACCGATACTAACGCGGCGTTTGCTTACCAACTCTCCTCCGCACAGTTCAAGTTTACAAAATACTACATGCAAACCACACGTAAATAAATGGAAATTAAAGTAAAAACTTGAACCAAAAATTTTAGCCTTATCGACACGTTTTTGTACTGAAAAAGTTACAGGTGATTTGGGATATCGCAGAAGTGGAGAAAAAATTTAAGATCTTAGAGTTAACTTCCATGAGTAAACGAATGAACGAGGTATTTCAAGTTCCAATGGTCAAATCAGATTTGATTCGGAAGGTGAAACATATATTTTCTTAATATCATTCATGTCAAGCATTGTATATTCTCATTGCATAATAAAATCTGGTATAAAATTCAGGGGAGTAAAACTGAGTATTACCCATCTTCATGCCAATTGAACGCATGTTTTGATGATCGCGCGTGACATGCGTGCGATGTCACGCTTGTCAACTTGTTCTCATCTTCATATGTACTAAATTATGTGATGACGCAAAATAAAGTTACTTCACACGGTAAACTCAAACATTTCACTTTTTCTCTGCGTATTATTCTGTCGATATAGTTCGGCAAAAGACTTTCCTTTGTGCAAGTTTTATTGAAGACCACTTACACCATTGAATGATCTGCCTGTCAGCAAGAAATTTCGTTTAGCTCATTGAGATGACATACAAGAAAATAATTAATAAAAAGCAATCTCTGGGCTTCAATCAAACTTGCATATTATGTTGTGTATACTGACCACCGCATAGTGGCCCTCTGCGCTGCTCGACTCATATGAGGAAGTCGTGTCTGAAACAGTACCAAATAGTTATTAGTTTGAACACAGTTTTTTCTATAAATTATTTTAATGTCGACTTGAGAATTGTGGTCGTAATTACTACTAATTCTCACAGCAATGTGCCAGTTAGCGTTGTCAAAGGAATAAGATATGATTAATAGTGAAGATAATTATAGTTACTTCTACGGTTGATGCTGGTTCAAAAATATACCCATTGTTATATTTTAACGCCTTTATAAATGTGTCATTTCTACCAGTAACTCCTTAACGATAATGACACTATCAGAGATATTTTTTCCCTTCGCATGACTTAATAAAGTTTAGTAACTCTTATCTATTTTCTTTTGTTTGAAGGGCTAAAAGTAATACTAAATTTATATTGTAGCGGGAAACTACTACATCTAAACACTCAAGTAATTAAAGGTCTCTGCCAGAGGGCCCTACGGTTCGTGGTAGATTGAAACGACTGAGGATGAAGTTCAGGCTAATAATTACTCAAGAGATTTGCAGAAATTACTTGAAAACGCAAAATACAATTACACTTGAAAGGTACAGATGACGAAGAACGTTAATACAACAATGATGGGCACCCAACAATGGGTATGATGAAGTGGCTCCCTACTATAGAGTCAGACAACATCCGAAGACTGTTCGGCTAGTACATTTTTCTCTGCAGTCGTCTTTCGAGTAGTGCGGTGGCTTGAAACCTAGTACACAAAACGAGGCCAATATCTGGCCCGCTACAATATTACCAGTTTGAATTTCGTTCTATTTATTTAAGGTAAAAAAATTTACTAGTAATTATTCACCTGAGGCCCTTCTGTCCAGTTTTTGTCCGCAGACTTGGCCGTTTGTAAGGCCATCTTGTAACCCTGAAGACGTTGAGCATCCAGTGGTCATAGGAATTCCAGCAGCCGAAGAGGTAGTCATGTCATAATGCGGAGCTGATGGATATCCAGATGTAACTGGATATTCGGGAGCACTGGCTGCAGCTGGAGGATATCCATAAGTTGTGGGTGGATATACAGAAGTTGTGGGCGGATATCCAGTCGTAGGTGGATATTCAGGAGCAGCAGGAGGATCAGAAGAATGGGATTGACATGCAGATAAGTTTGGCATGGGAGGATAAATAGAATAACCCGAATTGTGTGGGTATCCGGATGAAGGCGGGTTTCCAGGCGTGGGACGATAAGCAGGGATCGCTCTGTAGCCAGGCTGTGGATGTCCAAGATACGTTGGATAAACTGGCTGAAATGAGCCCGGGTATCGCCCAGCCCTGAGGGCTTGGCGAAACCCCGTAATAATTCAATGACTAAATTTAGCTACTCAAAAACAATAGAATCATTGATTAATGAACTAGAGCCTAATAATTAAATAGTAGTTTTAATGATGGATTTGTGCTGAAATGAGATATCCTGAATGGGTTTCTAATGAATGAAAAAATTAACATAAGAATATAATTGTTCGAGAGACATGTCGGAGGGTTAGTTTGTATTTTTTTGCATATTTCAAAATTTTCAAAGTCCGCTATTTTAAATACAATGACAATTGTACGCTTAATACGTATGATCGGCCCAAAAATGCATTTCTATTGAATAATATCCAAATAATCTAGCATTTTTCAATTATAATCGGTAAATTTGCAAACTAATGTTATACCAAGGCTTCAAATTTTTCAATAATAGGACTACTTGCAGACTAAATATCTAGCGTTGCATTCACACTTAGGGTAGTTCAACTAGATCCCAACTGCACGTAATTGAATAATTTTGATACGAAGAAAAACAAACGAGCTCAATTTAAACATATATAGGTTTCATATAGTGCGTATCTGTTCATTATATCTGTACATACATCACCATCTGACAAGCGAGTGAATGGCGTTCATGAATGGTACGCACGGCATACCTGCGGGTTAAGAGTCGAGAACTTCATTGTGAATTCATTGAAACTCATTGTATCGACGTCAAATTTTCACAACTAAACTAAATTGACTGTAAAAGAAAAGAATTTTACTGTACAAATTATATGGGATGAATAACACATAACACTCACGATGCTGCAAACATTTCCGTGTACAAGTTCAATGTCAGACCAGCTACCAGTTGTCTTTAATGCAGTTAGGTAAGGGGATAGTAGAAGGATTTCTTAAAAGTGTTACGTTATTGTTTTCAAGGCCTTATATCCTTAGTCTGCTTAAAACGCAAGTTAAAAAGGAATTCAAAATCAAAGAGAATGCCAAGTAAATTGACCATAAATTTATTGAAAACGTTATTGAGTCCAGCTCCATCGTGAGTTCAAAAATCTAGAAATAATGAAAACAATCATTATAATTAAAAACTCCAAAGTCAGAAATTAAAACCTAAAATTGACAAATAAGGGACAAATCAATCCTAAAATTGAAAACAAACACTAGCGGAACATTAGAAAATAAACACTAGAAAATTAAAGCCTAGCGATTAACTATTTCAAGAGGATAAGAAATGTGTGCATTATTGCGACACGGTTTTCGTTTAAAGATATCTAGTGATTCTAGAATCCTCAAGTCCGAACAGCCAGAGGTGGAACCGAGTACCCTGACATCACTTTCCGATACAGCCACGTCGCACTGTTCAGCATGGAGGCGCACGAAGGTATGAGGAGGCTTGCCGAGAAGTAAATTCTAACGATAGCTCCTGCCGCGGTGTTCAGAAACCCGGATGTAGAAGTTTCGCGACATTCCAACGGACGATGATGTGCAGCGCACACAACTATACTCGTAGACCAGGTGCGATCCGAGCAGGAATAACGTCCTTATAATTGAAAAAGAACCAATTTTAAAAGTTTTTACCAGCAAAACATGCAAATTAACATACGGAAAATATTTCATAAACAAAATGCTTCAGACGCGTTACACGTTAGCTTCAGACACGTTACCAAAATAGGGCAAAGTACAATATCGCCTCCAACCACAGCCCCAGAAAACTTGTTAGATAAAAATCGTTTGATTTTACTAAACACAAGGCACGATGGAAACCCATTCAGCTGAAATATATTACGAATGAGGCGATGTCGATGTGTGGCTATGTCAAGAGAGCTTAGGATTTTCTTTGCGATATATTTTCCGAATGTTAATTTGCATGTTTTGCTGGTAAAAATTTTTAAAATTGATTCTTTTTCAAGTATACGGACGTTATTCTTGCCCTGATGAGATCGAACCAGGTCTATGAGTACAGTTGTGCGCGCTGCGCATCAGCGTACGTTGGAATGACGTCGCGAAACTTCTACATCCGGGTTTCTGAACACCGCGGCAAGAGGTATCATTCGAATTTACTTCTCGGCATGCCTTCTCATTCCTCCGTGCGCCTCCAAGCTGAACAGTGCGACGTGGCTGTATCGGAAAGTGATTTCAGGATACTCTGTTCCACCTCTGGCTGCTCGAACTTGTGGATTCTAGAATCACTAGATATCTTCAAACGAAAACCGTGTCTCAATAAGGCACCCAGTTCTTATCCTCTTGAAATAGTTAATCGCCAGACTTTTATTTTTTAGTTTTTATTCATATAGCTCCGCTAGTGTTTGTTTTCGATTTTAGGATTGATTTGTCTCTTATTTGTCAATTTTATGTTTTAATGTCTGACTTTGGAGTTTTCAATTATAATGATTGTTTTCATTCTTTCTAGATTTCCGAACTGACGATGGATCTGGACTCCGAAACGTTTTCAATATAGATATGGTCAATTTACTTGGCGTTCTCTTTGCTCTTAAATTCCTTGTTTTCAAGGATTTAATTACTATACATTCCATTAACATACAAATTACAGCATTGCTAGAAGACATCATGGCGACAAATACAAGACATGCTATCGATGTCGTTGTTTCGTTTTTAAATTTTCATCACAATTCATATTAAATGTCGAAGTAAATTCTCTTTTCATGACACAAAAACTATACCAATTTGTAAAGTAATGAACACGGTATAGGTATTTCTTCTAGGAGTTTGGGATATTAAAGACAAACACAAGCCTGCAGAGCGATCACTTCACACTGCAGCTGGCTACAGAGGCTTGACACTGCAGCTGGCTACGGAGCAATCACGTGACTCTGCAGCTGGCTACAGAACGATCACTTGACACTGCAGCTGGCTACAGAGCGATCACTTGACACTGCAGCTGGCTACAGAGCGATCACATGACACTGCAACTGGCTACAGAGACAGAGATCTAATGAAGTAGTCGTACTAGAGGCATGAGAGTTGATGTAGAGAACGGCGTCATGAGGTCACGTGTACGTATGATGTTACTGCAAATGACGCACGACTTGCCTCCGTGATACCAGGCTGTGAAGTAACGCGCCGACTCATCGCGACGCAAGTATACGAAGACAATGAAATGCGTACGATAAAATCATGCTTGAAGAAGCGTTAAGTTAGTTCTACAGACTACCGCAGAACTAGGATAGGATAGGAAGATTACGGTAGAAGTAGTAAATTAAAGTTTGCTGTTTTGCATGAATTGTGGTATATTTTAAACCAATAAGTCCCAAGAGTGAAGAAAAATTAAAATATGGTGTATAATCGTCAACCATTCTAACGCAAACGCCTTAATTAACGTGATTAAATACCAGTATGGACGACGACAGATTCGATCCCAGCATGGACGACGACGAAAGTAATTGCCTAACTTATTTTGCCTAACCTAACGAAAGTAATTGCCTAACTTATTGCCTAACTAACGCCTTATCGTCTATATATCTATATAGTAATTACTGTTATCTTATCGTTTATAATAGAGTTGAGACAGATGTTTTAATCAGTAATTAATCCTCACAAGTGATTCGGAGAGATTTAAAAAACGATAAAGTCTATAGCAGCGCTGAACGTTCGATATCACCTACGGCGAATTCGCTGAAGTCTAATTAAAGTTTATGGAATTTGTATCCTTTATTCCTAAATGAACACAAGGGACGAATTGCCTAGGTTCTAACGGGAATATAGTGAATTCGATTTATATAAAACTAGGGGATTACCGGACTACACCTAAACTATTCGAAGCTATGTATAATAGGAAAAACAACTTTAGTCAGCAAACGTTTTTACCCTCTACCGCCTGACATGAGTAAGCAATATTGTCACACAAGCCTAGCCGAAAAGAATACGTTGCTACTGAGCAGAGGTGGCAGTAGCGCGCTACATGTAGCGGCCGCTACTAGCGGCCGCTACATTTTCAGTAGCGGTAGCGGCGCTACATTAAGAGCAATGTAGCGGTAGCGGTAGCGCCCGCTACCTATTTAAGTAGCGATACGAGGTTTTGCCGCTACAGCGCTACCGCTACATTTATAGATAAAGCCTTTAGATTTTACTTAATAGTATTAAATATTATTTAAAAACCAGCATGATACATACATAATATAAATTACGGAATAAAACTGTACGAAAGATTTCGGTGTAATGTTGTCAACCTCAGCCTGTTAGTCTGTTACTAGTGTCAACATGTTATGAATTATGATGTTAGTTGTTATTAGTTAACAATTATTTGGACAGTCCACTAAGCACCACTTTACCTGCTCCTGAATCACTTCCTTGTAACCCGTTCCTTGAGATTTTTGTAGAGTACAACACTCCAATCCCTTCTAGTGCTGCGGTGGAGAGGATGTTTTCCTTGGGAAAGGATATCCTAAAGCCAAATCGTTCAAGTTTGTCGGATGTTCATTTTGAAATGCTGGTATTATTAAAATAAAAATTTTACCTAAATGGAAATATTATTCCGTGTTGTTTGCTTGCGAGTCAATGTTAGTTATTTTTATATTTCAAGTTGCTTACGACTTGCGAGTAAATGTTACAGGTATTGTTATGTTTCAGTTTGCTTGCAGGTAAATGTTACAGGTATTTTTTCATGTTTCAGTTTGCTTACAGTTATTTTTACACAGTTATTTTTATGTTTTACCTTCGTGACCTTCCCTACATGGATGTCTACTTTAGTCTGACAATCTCAAAAATTATCCACATATATATATACAAATAAAAGACTGATTTTTATATCTATATGTTGATAATTTTTGAGATTGGTAGATTAAAGTAGACATCCATGTAGGGAAGGTAAAACATGAAAATAACTGTAAATTTTATTTACTTTATCTAATCCGTACTAGTTCGGTTAGGTAAATCCCAATAGCAGAACAATAAATATTTAGAGATTTCCAATAATTTTTGCCATTGTAGCGGCTAATGTAGCGGCGCTACATTTTACTGTAGCGGTAGCGGTAGCGCCCGCTACAATCTAGTGGGTGTAGCGGTAGCGGTAGCGCCCGCTACATTTAGAGCATGTAGCGGTAGCGGTAGCGGCGCTACATTTCAAAGTAGCGCTGCCCAGCTCTGCTAGTGAGCGCAAAATGACTTGCACAGATGGTTGCCGCCACGTACGACAACTTTGAAATTTAATGATCTCTTTTGCGTACAAACGTAATCAGGTTGTTACACTTAATAGTTTACTTATAATTTGAGTTGAAAGTTATGTTCCCGGAGAATTCTAATGCGAGGTATAACTGGGCGAGTTCAGTCATCTATACGATCGCGGGCAAAGTCGTACGACGATACGAGCATATTTTTAGTTTATCTTGAATTGTAAACTAAAGAAGAATTTAATATAAAGGTTGGTGAAACTCAGGCCGTGCTACGTTCATACGATGAATAAGATCCCAAGAACTGAAGGTAGTCGTTTTTTTGTATACTTCTGAAAAAGAAACGTGTGATAGATATATCGTCTCAATTCATACTTAACCTATATTTTTTTCTGATACTCCGGCAAAAGTGAGGAATATGAATTATCAATTAAGTTCCTTATGATCGATCTTGGCCAACTGGTGACAAATACTCGATCCCAGCTTACAGTATTTAGCTTAGTACTGATATTTATAGTCATAACAAATCCTAATCAACATTTCTACCAGCGACTCTCAAACAATTTTAAATT